CTCGGCACTGCTGGCCGACCCTTCGGAGCCCTTCGAGGCCGGCGGAGCGCAGAAAACTCCAGCTATGGGTATGGAGCTGAGCTCAGCGTGTACCACCCGTAGTCATTTACAGCTCACGTCCTTCATTCACCTGCAGCTCCCGCAGTTCCCACGGCCCAGCGCTGGCCCTGCTGCACACAGCAGCTCCAAACACCCTCCGACCCGCACTGCTGAACACGGGTCAGCTCATGAAAGGCCCCTCCGTCTCCCCACAGAGCCGAGGCAATGGTTTGGTACTGCTGTGCACCAGGCTGCTTGCCCGAGGTGGCCTGGCACCTCAGCTCAGCACTGCCCAAAGGACCGGGGAGGGCTGAGGTGCCGCTGCGATCCAGGCACCCCGGAGCCTCACCACTACAAAATAAGCACATTCGAGCTCCCCAGGATATGACCCAATGCTCCCAGAGCAAGCTCATATCCCCTCCCAGCAGCCCTGTACAGGAGGTAACAGTGGAAATGGGCTACGCAGGGCTCCCAGCAGAAGGGCACACAGCCGCCCTGTGATTCTCTCCCACTCTGCTCACAGCCCACCTCGCCCCACAGCTGGATTTAACTCCATCAAGCAGGGACAAAGTCCCACAGTATCCTGCTGCAGCAGGAGCCGAGGCAGCAGAGACACACCCCTGAAAATGCTGACCATGTAAATGAAAAAGAAGAAGAAATTTCAGCTTCCTCAGAAATCACAGTAAGGAGACGAGGTGCTTTGGTGGCTCAAGCAGAGAAGTGCTGAGGTTGCAAAAGTCCTTGTCCCGTCTTTACATTCACCACACTAGGGGGAATCAGCACTCCACATTTCTCCCTCGAGCAGCCACCGAGCTAAGAGCTCTGAGCTGGCCAAAACTCTGCCACCCTCATCTCCCTTCAGCTATAGCTGCAGCAGAATAGACAAAGAATACTTTATTGAGGCTGCTGGACCCAGACAAGCCTCCAGCCACATCTGCATAATATCCCCTCATGGGACCCCACCATCACTCGGAGAAGAGCAGGCATCAGCCTGCCTAACTCCAGGACCTGACCCTACTGCTGGTCTTTTACTTCACCAAAACTCAGGCTCAAAACTTCCAGAGTGGCTTGAGAGGAGTCAAAGCTGTCTCCATACTGAGCGGCTGGGTGGACAGTATGCTCAAGATGCAGGACCACATTGTTAAGTGCTCTGGTCATGCCGAACAGCACGATGTTCCCCCCCATCCATGGGTCTTCATTGTCCTAGGTGCAGGCTTGAGGCTTACCCATAAGGTAACAACTCTTAATCAAGAACTCGAACAACTGGATCACACAGAAATTATCACGCACAAAGAATCTTTTTGGCCAGGGATGCTTTAAAAAAATCAGTTTATTTTACCTTACAAATGATAAATAATTTGTTTTAAAAAAAATCATTTCAAGTGTGTTTTACTTCATGTTGTAATATTAAAATACCTTTCCTTTCTCCCCCCTTAAGCAATCAATACAAAAATAATTGTGACCAAATTATCTTTTTTTGTCAAAAATTCTTCTATTTTAGGCAAAAAGGCACATTGTGAAGGCTTTTCACCAGGAGGTACAGGGGTTCACAATGACCCCAAAAGCCTCCCTTCTCCCTCCCTGCTTGTTCTAACTTCAGCAGAAGAGGACACAGGAACCAGGCAGCACTCCTGCAGTGCTTTTTGTCTGATGACCTTCAGATATATACCAGGGCCAAGGTCAGCTTCAGCGTTGTCCCTGTTTTACATATAGGTGAAACCAAGGCACAGCAAAGCAGTACAATTATCTACGAGCTTCTTGTGAATAGCTGGCAGAGCAGGACGTAAAACTGGACGTAGATGTAGAATGTTGTCTTCTTCAAAACGACAGTGTGAACCCACCTGGGATCAGCCTCCCCCCTTGCAACCACAATGTTATGATGGTAGTTGTAAGTCTCTAGGTGTTTCTTTCTTAGTGGGAGAGTCACAGGACCAACGCAGAAAGTTGGGCCTACGCTAGTCTAAACAGGGATTAATTAGATCCCTAATTACCAGCCCTTCAGGGGCAAAAGTCACTGCTGGGATATATCCCCCCATCCTATCTTCTAGCCACAGGAAGGATATAACAGCCAGTCAGACACTAGAAAAAGCTACAGGCAGGCTCTTGCTTTGGGTAGGCTTTGTACCTTCCTTATTCAGGGTATGTGGTCCCATAAATCAGCTGCTTTCCCATTGGGAAATTCTGTTGCGTCACCAGGAGGAATTGAAGTCAGTGAAGGGGCTTCTTAGGTGGTAGAGAAGTCTGACAACCCAGGTCATCAAGACCATTTCTCTCCCTGCCCTGCCCACTCATCAGGATGCTTGAGGCTAAACAACTGATCAGAACTGCCCCCTTTCACATCTGCTAACTCCAGAGCAGGGCAAGACACACTCCTCCCAGTGTTTCACCCCAGAAACATGTATCTCCTGCTTCTTCCAGGAAGCCAAATCTCCCGGCAGCTGGCAGGAGAGCATCAACATGCCATGAGCTGAGCCCGCTTATCACAGTATGAGGCAGCATCAGGTGGGGAGGGAGTCACAGGGGGCCAGACGGAAAGGCACACACACAGAGCTCTCCTGGTACAAGGCACCACTGTGAACCATACTCCTTCTTCGGAGCAGCCAGCTCCAGGAGGCCCTTAGCATCATAGATGGTGGCAGGAGGCAGATGAGCTGCCCCTTGAAAAGGTCTGGCATGGCTGTGCTAGGTCTCCTCATCCCAGAGACACAGCTGCTTCTGCGGCACGTAGTAATCGAAAGTGTAGCCCTTCTGGCAGCTGCGGATGCCACATTTGTAAGAAGAAACCTTGCCCCCAGCATCACGACTCTTGCAGTACTTCAGCATGCACGGGTACCACTCGATGCTCAGTGAGTAGCTGCAAATGCAAGGTTTCCAGCGGTCTGCACACAGCTTGCAACGCTGCAGGTCAGGGAGATCAGATGTCTGTGGCAGGACCTCGAACATGGAGCCATCCACCCCTGCGGGAGAAAGCAGACACGTTGCTCAGGGCACTGCTGAAATGCAAAGCCAAAGGAGAGAGCCATCAAAGCAAGCGTTGCTCTCTCTGCACAGTCTCCAGGACAGTCGAGGAGAACGAGGTTAGACAGAGTGCATTTCCAGGGGCTGTTTGGACAAGAGTCTGAATAGGAACCACGGGAGAAGAAAGGGCCCTGGGGAAAATAAGCCAAAAGATGCAAAAAGTGTGCAAAGAAGATATTTCTTTTGGGTGATGAACCAGGTGAAAGGCTACCTTGAAAATACCTGCCTACTTAGGTTCAGTAGGAGAGCACCCCCAAAAGAAGTCAGGTATGCTAACAAATAGACTAGTGCAATGTGACATGCAAGCAAGCGA